CACACCTTGGTGAGACCTGTCTCTTGTAAACTGAGCCAACGAAGCTCCTGCTACAGCATAGCTTTACAGGAATTTATAGGTCTTTACAATGGGTACCAGCGCTGATCGCTAGTAAATAGCAAAATGCCCCCACGAAGCCGAAATGCGCATGGTTATAGTACAAGTAACCTCATTGTTAGACTTTTTCTTGTAATTTATGAGTAAGACATCTCATACAACAGCTGAAATCAGGGCAGTTAATACAATTACGATTAAATTAAGTTCAAGAACTTGCCTTTCTACAGGTATTATGATCGATATGCGCACAGATGTAGAGAATTTCACTATGGGGGTTGTGAAGGGAATGCTAACCGATTCAGTACGCTCCAAGGTAAGCTGTTCATCTTTCAGTTTTTTTAATCTTTCACGATTTTGGTTGTTTATACTTCGGTTAATTCTAGGAAAAATAAAAAGGGTCAGTTTGGCTCGGTGGGGCAGCAACTGATACTCAACAAATTTGCACGATGCGTTTTGATAAGATCTGTGAATTCCTGTAACCAAAGGGCTCGCTCGTACCATTTTGCAGCTTTATGAGAGTCTATAGGTTTCATTTTGGTGTAAGCTAAAATGAACTGGCAGAGGAACCAAGAAAAGTGCAAAATGCCCCTCCTGAGCTCAAAAGCACCCCAAATGACAGCTCCCGAGTCAACAGTCTTTTTTCTTTAGAATGTAATGCTGCATGTTCTTACCAACCGCCATCGAATCGAGATCGATGTTTCCAACCGATCGATCCTGGCCATTGCAATAGTGACATTGAAAGATGGTACTTCGACATGAACAAACGACAATGTGTATGTGGGTTGGTATTAGAAATCCATTAAAGAAATAAGCTAGACAGAAGCTGCAGAAGCAGGGCATGTGGTACGTTGGGGATCTCTGTGAGGTGGTTGTATTTTGTTGCTGGAGGGACGGGGGAGGGGTCACGCACGTATGCCTTTGAAAAGAACGGTTTGCTTCAAGTGCGCTATATATACCACTTTCATTTTGAATTCACGTCTTTTTGCATATTTTCCACCCTTTTCCCACGTTTTTGGGCCGCAGAGGAGACCCCAACCACTTTGCAAGAGACTCCGCCCACTTCGTAAAAGCCCCGCTCGGATATTTAAAATGCTTCAGATTAGCGAGTTCTAACTATTAGATCAGCACCTAGCTCGCCACTTGCAAGGAACCTCGCATGTTTTTCTTCAAACGAGCAAGATTCTGGCCCATTAGTTGTGACTCTAACCTGCTAATTCGACGCATTTGCGAAAAAAGGCGGGGCCTCTACGAAGGGGTCGAAGCTTCTCATGATGTGCGGGACTATTATCAGCTCAATAATGTGAAGATTTTGAAAAAGTGTTGAAAACATGAAAGAAAAGGACGTGAACCTGATTTAACAGCTCGAAATGGACCGGAAAAGGAAAG